TTTTTATTATTTACATGAAATGTTCCCTTTCTACTTAATTTTTTTCAGTTCCTTTATACAGGCCTCTTGAGAATAGGTGTTCCTACCAGTGAGATGGAGCTAACTACAAATCAGCAGATGTTACTCCCTAACTGATCCTTCTCAACTGTCCTTCTCTGTCCATTTCAGGTGGTTATTTTATTTTTCTGAAAAATTTAACTGCCTTTTCTTCATTACCAATTTCATTTTCCATTTTCAACCTCCGATGAGCCTCCAAAGACTAATGTTTTTCACTTTGTGGGTATAAGGACCACACTACAAGATATGCTTTCTTTTTGAATGCCAGCCCAGTGCAGCTATCTGTATAGTTTACAGAACCACATGGAACATTTTTCTGCTGGGTGGCTTTGTCTTTGCAGCAGAAACATACCTGTTATCACTTTTTTTTCTGACAAAATGCAGTTTTAGTTCATGAGACAAGCACTGGATAGAATTTGCTACTTTTTCAACAACATTGAACAAATATTGATTGTCTACCATGAACTGAACACTGTTGTGAAGATTCAGAAGTTATAAAACAGGTAAAAAGTCTTACTTTCATGGCCCTTATATTCTAAACAGAACAAAAAATAATTATGATTTATATAATATGCTGCATGGTGATAGGTGCTCTAAAAAAAATAGAGAGGAGAGAATGCCTAAGGTGCTTGCAATTTTTAAAGATATCCAGCCCAGCCGGCATGGCTCAGTGGTTGAGGGTCTACCTATGAACCAGGAGGCCACGATTCAATTCCTGATCAGGGCATACACCTGGCTCTCGTGGGCTCGATCCTCGGTAGAAGGTGTGCAGGAGACAGCCAATCAGTGATTCTCTCCCATCTTTGATGTTTCTATCTCTCTCCCTTTACCTTCATATCTGAAATCAATTACATATATATGTATGTATGTATGTATATAAAATAATACAAATGTTTTCAGAAAAGCTGTCATTGTGAAGATGGTGACATCTGAGTAAAGACCTGATGGGAATGAGAAAGTCATGTGGATATCTGGGGCAAGAACTTTTCAGGCAAAGGGACTACCTACTGCAAAGGTGCATGTAGGCTGTCAGAAGCTGTCAGAAGTTTTACTCCAAGCATCTGCCAGGGGCAAAAATTCAGGCAAGGCTTTTCTTGTTGCTATAAAGAATCCACCTATATTGAGAGCTTAATCAGCTTAAGATGAACATCAGTGTGGATCTGTTTAGTGTTTTCTCTCAAGCCATGACCTCACTGCTAATACTGACAGCCTCTTAGATTCAGATGGGCTTTGGATGAACAGCCTGGCAAACCTGAGTGAAACTAGAAGAGGCATTTTAGTAGCTCCGTAGACCCAATGTTTTTGTTGTTGTTGTTGTTGTTGTTGTTGTTTTTTGTTTGTTTTTATCTCATCCCCTCTTCACATGGGGCTGCATATTAATCAAATGTAATCATTTAAACCTAAAATGTAGTCCATTACCATTAATGAAGTAGGAAGATGCATAATATAATTTTACCTTGGATTAGCTAATGGAGGATTCTTGTCCCACAGACAAGACATGGGCTACTGAGAACAAAGGTATTTCCTATGCCACCAAATTGTGCTTTCAATGCTGTCTTCTAGTCAGGACAACACAGTAAAGAGATCTTACTAACATTAAGTCTTACTGATATGTAGACTTTCCAGAGACTGTTACAATAAACAGATAATGTGCGCTGAGCCTATCTCACAGCTAGCTTAGTAGGGTTACAATGCTCTTATAGCCAAGCAATCCACACCTCTTTCAAAGGGGTTTCCAATAGCATTGAGAATATTTCTAAAGTTTCTATTATCTCCCTTGGGTCCTTAATAAGATATTAAGAACTCAACAAATGGTTATTTGAAAGCAGACAATGGATTTATTTTAGCTCACTTTTGATTTGTTTGGAGACTGGATTTCTTATACAAGAAAATTAGTACTTATTTCATGAGAATATAGATTAAGAGACAACAAAGGTGGCTGTACAAAGAGTAAGTGTTGAACACCCAAATAGATCATGATGACTTATCAGTAACTGAAAACAATATTTTGTAATCATACTATAGGGGCTGGCAAAAGTAGGCTTACAGTTATAGAGTTCACAAAACAGAGTTTATTCTTTTATTATGATTTATTAATTATTGTATTATTTTCCAAATGAACAATTGTAAACCTATTTTTGCCCATCCCTGTAGTTCTCTGTATGGGTCGTTTAGATTCACTTTAAATGTTTGACTTGTTAGCTATGGTAGATTTGAACAAACACAGAAAGCCTTTAAAATGTGGCCAGGTTGTTGTTTTAAATCCAAATCAAGCATTGATCATTAGGATTCTGGCTTGGTATAAATTTAGAATTATTGTAATATAATGTGTTGAAGTTGTTCCATACTTATTTAGGAGTGGCCAGTGATGACATTTCTATGATGAAACCATGATGTAATCAACCCAACAACTTAGAAAGATACCAGCATTTTTTTTTTTACACCTTTACATCTGTCAAACTTTTTGTTCACAATATGCTGAAAAAGTCATTGGAAACAAGCAAGCCATTTATCATTTTTCTTCCTAAAAAAAAAATGCACTTTTCTAATTAATGAGTAACTTTAATTTTAGATGGAAGCAGTGACACAACAGGTCAATTGTACCTAATTTGAGCCAAGTCTTTTCTCAGTTTATAATTAAAAGGAGCTATTCTGGAAAGCAGATTATATATATAATTTTACAACTGAAGACAGCCCACTACATATATGTAGTGGGCTGTCTTCAGTTGTAAAATTTCTTTTGAACTGATGGGAATTTATCTTACAGATGAGATTTGCAGGCCATTGAAAATACAAACATGTACTCCACAGCTGTGGGCAGTGATGTGCTGAGAGCAGAGGGTTTACTCACAAACTCAAGTTAGTCCACCTGGGTTAGATGCTTAGCTCCCCACTTACTAGCCTAGTAATTTCAGGCAGCACATTTAGCCTTTTTGCGGCTCAGCTGAGAACACCATGGGGCCAATAATAGTGTCTACTTACGGATTACAGGAGGACCGAATGAGTAAACACACACAAGATTCTTAGAACAGGCACTGGCACATAGTGAATGTTCAATAGATGTCAATTATTCTAGCGTGTGATAAAGTGAGGAGCTATCATTAGTCTTTTAATAGGATGAAGTATTGGACGCAATGCTAGTATTTATATTGGGTTTGTTTCATGCACTTTTTATAGAACCAAGTATGCTTTCTGGCCTGACCGCTTAAGGAAGCAGAGGATGGCTTCTCTAAGTGAAACTGACCCCTGCATCAAGTGCGTGAAATCAGAGGAAGCTTGTCAGCGTGGGCAGACACAAGTGTAGACCAATGTGACTTCCCACTTCTCTCTCTCTTTTTTTTTTATCTCAAGGAAGTTAAGAGAGGGTGCTAATGTACATCCTTAAATCAATTGTTCCAGATTAATTAAGGCTTAAAACCTTGGTTTATTGTAGAGTTTTTGATAGTCATCTAAAACCACTGTGGTCATCCAAAAATCTGTTATCTCTTCTAGTTTCAACTGTAGAATAAAAACTAAAATTTATCACAGCGGATTGTTACAGTAAGTCTGGTATTTATGTCTCCCAAGAGGCCATTTTGCTTCTGGGGAAAGGCAACGGGGTGCCCTCCATTAATATATCTAATGGATGGTGTCATGACGTACAATTCCTTGTTGACCCCCTGCAATTCAGAGTTATTGTCTGGGAACATAAAATCTAATTACCTCATTTCACTGCATAGCTACTACCCATGTTAGGAGAGGTTTGTGGAAGTTATCAGCCCATTGTGCAACCCAGACTTCAGACCCTGCTACTGCTTTACCATGCTTTCTCGGCCTAACTCGCCACGCAAACTACGATTATGACTAACATTAGAGGGGAAAGGATGGATTCTTCTGGTTCCAGCTGCAGAACATCCTACCAGAACAGGTGTACTACTTCCAAGTCAAGTTTGCCTTCGGCCCCGCTGGAGGGTGGAGCCCTCGCCGCCTGCTCCCCGGGGGCGTGCGCCGTCTGTGGGCGTCCACGGGGCACGCGCAGACACTCGGGGACCCACTTTCCGGGGGCTGGGGGGTGGGGTGTCAGCCCAATCAAAGCCTCCCTCTCACCTCCGAGGCTGTCAACTCTCACGCCCCGCCCCGCGCGGCCGGCCCCCTCCTCACTCTCCCACCGGCCCCGCCTCCCAGGTTAGAGCTCACCACTGTCATTGGCGGATGCTTCTTTCACTCCTACTCGGGAACCAGTCGCTCGCGTCCTGATGGGGGGGGGGGCGGCAGAGCCAATAGGAATGCCCGTGTTGGCCGCTGCCGGGTCCCCGAGCGCCGGGGGGCGGGTCCGGGGGGCGGGGTCCCGGCGGGGGAATTAGTTGCCTTTTGGAGTGAGCTGCAGCGGGCTGAGGCGGCGGCGGCGGCGTTGGCGGTGGCGCGGGCTCCCCGGGGACTGGGATACCTCCGGGCCCTGAGCCTCCAACCCGGTCCCCAGAAGCAGAAACCCCGGCCCTCCCTGCAGCCGCGGGGCCTTTCCTGAGCGTGCAGCCCCCGCCTGGCTGCCTGCGGCCCCGGAGGCTGCGGGATCCGGACGGTTGCCTCTCTTCCCCGCTGTCAGCGCGATGCCCCGGGCGGCGGCGGCGGCTGCAGGCTCCCCGCGGCCCCGGCCGTGACCGTCACGCCGCCGAGTCTGACCGGGCGGTTGGGGCCGTTGGACGTTTGTTTTCGCAGCCTTCCCCTCCCCCTCGCCCCGGCGGCGGCGGCGGCGGCGGCGGCGGCGGCGGCGGCGGGGTGCGCGTTGGGAAGGGGGAGCCCCGAGGCTCCTCCCCCTGCCGGCACCCCCGCCCCCTCCCCCTTACACACACTCGCACGCACCGCCGCGCCGGCTCCCACACGCTCCGCGCGCGCCTCCCGCTCGCCCCGCTCCGCGCCTCCGTGGTCGCTAGAGGCGGCGGCGCCCCGGGCCCCGCGGAGCCACCATGTCCACTTCCACTGCCGCCTCCGCCTCCTCCTCCTCCAGTTCCTCCCAGACCCCGCACCCCCCGCCGCCGCAGAGGATGCGGCGCAGCGCCGCCGGCTCCCCGCCCGCCGCCGCGGGGAGTGGGAACGGTGCGGGGGGCGGCGGCGGGGGCTGCGCCGCGGCTGCGGGCGCCGGGCGGCTGCTGCAGCCCATCCGCGCCACCGTCCCCTACCAGCTCCTGCGGGGCAGCCAGCACAGCCCCACGCGCCCGCCCGCCGCCGCCGCCGCCGCCGCCTCGCTGGGCAGCCTCCCGGGGCCCGGCGCGGCCCGCGGCCCCAGCCCGCCCAGCCCGACGCCGCCGCCGCCGCCGCCGGCCGCCGGGGCCCCCATCGAGCCGGCGCCGCGAGCCAAGGGCCGCCCGAGACGGTCCCCGGAGAGCCACCGGAGGAGCAGCTCACCTGAGAGGAGGAGCCCGGGCTCGCCCGCGTGCAGAGGTAGCGAGCCCAACCCTCCCGTCCTCCCGGGCGGCGTCCCCCTCGACGGTGCCCGGCGCGGAAGCGGCCGCCGCTCCCGGGCTCGCTAGGCTGGTGCATTCACTGCCCCAGGTGTGAGCGCGGCGGCTCGGGAACCTCACTCACCCTCTGCGGTCGGTCAGGCGGTCGGTCGGTCGCGGCGGGGATCGGCGGAGCGGAGCGGGACTGCGAAGCCCAACTTCTATTTAACACCCCCCCCCCCCCCCCCGCCGTCCCTCCGATTTTTATCTCCCATCCCTCACCTGCGAGCCTGCAGAGGTGTTTTCAGTGGAAGGGGCTGATGAGCTCACGCATGTGTGTGCTGTTTGCAGCGGGAGGGGGGGGGGCGGGGGATGGATGGAGGCTGGAGGAGTTGGGGCGAAACACCGTAAGAAACACGCACACAAACTCTCCAGCAGCCTCTTTGTGCTTTCCTTCCAAGTTCCTAATGTCTGGGACTCCCGGGATGGTTCTTTTTTTCTTTCTTTCTTTCTTCTTTTTCTTTACTTTCTTTTTCTTTTTTGGAGGGGTGCCGGCGTTAGTTGTGATGTAAGGATATATATATATGTATTTTGGTAAGGGGACAGTTTTGGGATGTGCAATTGCAGCGTATAGTGTTTTGTTTTTGCTAACCAACCCCCCCCCCCGTCTACACCCCCCTCCCCCGCCGTCTCTATTCTATATGGTCATATGCATCAGAGCAGTACTTCACTGGAAACAGCTTATGCCCTGTTCAACATTTTTTTTCATGGTAAATTTTAAAGATCTGTTTGTGCAGTGTGCTCAGTTTTTCCTCCCATTTTTTTTTTTTTTAAAGTACACCTCACAGTCCAGTTGAGCTGTTAAAGGATCTCAAGTTTCTTTTTCTTTTTTTGTTTTGTTTTTTTTGTTGGGTGTCAAAGGTAATGGTGAGTTTGGATGCTGTCGGCTTCCCTTAAGGTTTTCAGTTCGGGTTTGTTTTTATGTCTAGAGGGACACAGTGCATGATGAAGTTGAGTCACCGGGGAGAAAAGGAAGATTAGCCAAAACAGGGAGTTAAAGCTCATGGGGGAGAGGAGAGCAGCTAAATATTATTAGATGCCAGGCTAGAGCCACAGATGCTGCCGCCGCTGCATTGTGGAGAGAAGAGATCAGACTAAGTGGAAAATCTGCTGGGAAGAGAAAGGCTGTGGAGCTGAGCTCTCAGTGCAATGTTTCTGTGGTATGTGGAATATTTTTACGGCGTTTCCTTGATGAGGGTCTTAGGACTTGGAGAAAGTGGCTGTGTTAGGATAGATTACCGCTTTGGTGTTTTCGTTCTAATATTTCTGACCTGTAATTAACATGTTGCCAAGGCACTTGTTTTCAGACCACTTGATGGTGAGGCAAGGTAGGATGCAGTAGCACTGGTATGTGCACATGAGCACCGGAGAAATACATCCTGTAATCTGTATGCACCAGGAGGAATGTGCTCCCCCACTGCTCCCCCAGGTCGAGCCAGCTGCTGCAGAAACTGACATCCTCCAGCAAATCCTGAATGAATGAATGAAAACAACGTGATCGCCCTAATAATGACCACCACTGAACACACATCTTGGGTTGTATTTTATAGGAAAGGCCACCATTTTCTAACAGATTAATGCCATATGCAACTCTCTTGCACATTTTCTAGAGCTGTATGAAATGAGAGGTAACAGGATGAAAAGAAGGCAGCAGTTACTTTTTTTTTTTTGAGTGATCGAGCTTCAACAGGGTATAGATTGAGTTTTGGGATTTTCTTTTAGGCACTCATATGAGAGCCATAAAATATGCATTCCAGACAGATTGTGGACAGAGGGTTCTGTGGACAGAGTAAGAGTAGTTTCGGCAATTGCTACAACAATGTAATGGCCATCTAGTACCTCCTCTTTTGTTGATAAACACTAACATCTTACAACAGATCATAGCACAACTTGTTTTTCTGCATCCTTCAAAAGCCTTAATTGCTTTGGAATTACATGGTCCATCATCAGGCAGTTTTAATGAAATTTGTGATCAGGCTTAAACTATCCTCTTTGTTGTTTGTAGTGTGGCACATCCAAGTTTAATGCAATTTTAATGCAATCATGATGAAAACACTTCTGAGTTTGGGTGTTCGGTAGACAGATTTGCATCATCAGAGAGCTTGTAGTGGGAATGGAAGAGGCTTTTCTGCTGGTTTTAACACGGGTGGTTTTGTCAGTTTCTTACATTGAAGTGATTTTGAATGCAGACTCTTCTGCCCCTAGAGAGCTACCCAAATTAAAACTACAACTATTCTGTTCTGTTTACTTAGCCATTTAAAATCCTTACTATGAATAGTTGGACAATTTCTCAAACAATGACTCAGTTTCTTTTGAATTCTGCAAGGTTCTGACTTCAGTGGGTTTTAGTCTCCACAGGTCAAGGTTCCTGCCGCTGCCTCTGCTGCTGCAGACACTGACATCACTATACTGCATGAATGAAAACAACGTGCTCCATCTCTTCTCTGCACCTCCTTCCTTTTCTGCACACTGCTCTGGTGTGTGTGTGTGTGTGTGTGTGTGTTTAGATAGTGTGATGCTGGGTATGAAAGTACATTTAAAATGTGAAGTAATGTATTTACTATAGAGGCATATTGTTTACAAGAAAATAAGTGCTATGAGCATTTGGACTCGAGAAGACATAACTGAGCATTCAGTATTTTTTTTTTTTTTTTTTTTTTTGGGTCTGGAATGGTGGTTATGGAAGAAAACATAGCTTTAAATAATTTTCTTTGGAATTGTCTTACCAGGAAGAAATTATGAAACAATATAATTTCTTTACATATTAGCTCATTGTTGTATCCCTCTCAAACATTTTTACTATGCATAGTTATAGGATTAAGGCTAGAGTTATAAAAAATGGTATTTAGACTTTTTCACTAGGCTAAGGAAAAGCTGAATTTTTTAGATAGGTGCATTCAAATTTAATGTGATCTTTTATAAAATATGGCAAGAGGATGCTAATTTCCTTTATTTTTATAGCAGTTTTAGTCTATTTAAATGGGTATTATAACAGATACATAAATTTCCAAATGCATCTTGTTTCTATAGAAAGGACATGGAGTTTTACAAATTGGAACTATCCTGTTCATGCACAGGAAGCATATTTTTGTATTTTTAAAAATTTGTTTGGTATTTTTTAAGCCTTCAAGGTTTTTTTAATTTATATTCATCTCTTTACTTCTGCCATTAGCAAAATGTCACCCTCCCCTTCTTTGGCTCTGAAGGGTCTTGAAGTGGTGAATGACAAGCTACTGAATGCATCCTCAGGCTCCCTGTGATGTGTTTGTAATAGATGTAAAATCATAAAGTATTATGCAAATAGTTATTTTTTTGTAATGGTAATACATAAAGTGTACCTTTGCGATAAATAGGACAACAAATGAGAATATAACAGGTACTGTTAAAATTAATGATCTTTAAGCTAAAATCATTAGTAACAACCAAAAGAAAATATAATAAAGTTGTTTCTTTCTGAAACCTCATACAGTAAAACCGATGGACTTAAAAATCGAACAAATACTGTTTTCGCTGGGCTAGATAGTAGGCAGCATTGCAAAGTCTCTGGTGATTTTTGTAAAGATTGAGCATTAGAATGAATTATAAATTCTAAAAGATATGAAAACATTTGTATTGGAGTACTCTGGATGGAGAGTACTGCTTATTTTTAAGTGTACCAAATCTAGTAACAAAAACATGGAAGAGCTTGTCATTCTTATAGCTCCTGCTTTGGAAAATAGCATGTGTTGATTTCTGATTTAACCTAACATTTATTTAGGCCTAGTTGTTTCAGCAGATTACTAATCCTAGAGTGAAATTTGATTAGAATTTTTCATGAGTACCTTGAGGGCTTTATTGTCTTACACATTAAGAAGTTACAATTATATTTTTAAAAGAAAATGCAAAGCCAACCAGCATGTAATGTTGAAAGACAGCATGCAATGTGTGTGTCTGTGTGTTTTAATCAATTAATTTGCTTTCAGTTTTTTATATCTTCATTAAATTTCCTTTTATGAGTCATTTTATGCTGTGCTTAATATGTGGAATGCCAATATTTTAAATTACTGTTTTCTCTGGATTTTAAAAGATACTCAGACATTCTCTTCCTATAAAGTTACTCCTCAGGTGCATATTCTCGGAAATTAAGGTTCTCCTCCAGTCCCCCTCTTTTAAAATTAAATTTCTTCGATTATTTAGATGAATCTGTTTCAAAAAGTTCCTATACTAAAGTGAAAATAAAGTTTTGGCTTTTTTTTTCTTTTTTTCTCCTAAGTGACAGGTTTCAAATACTCATTTTTGGAAAAATACCAACAACATTCATTATTTATATATCTAATTTCCTTCATCAATTATAGTGCATAAAATTTCTAGCTCAGTGAGTGAATGGCAAAATAGATAATGAATTTATAGAAGTAATTTATTCTTAAACTACTATCTTATGTTCAAAGATTATATTCCTTTCAGATAACTATTACCCTAAACATACCAGTCCTGAATACCATGTACCTAAGGTATATCAAAGCACCTAGGTTATTTTCGCTCTATGTAAAGTTTTGTGTGTATATATTGAATTAAAAACTATTTTGTCATTTAAAGTACTTTTTACGGAAGGACATTTCATTTACTGCAGTGTACATTTCTTCAAGGGTTTAATGCAAATTAGGATTTATATATTGGGGAAATATTGAAGTTACCAGTAATGGCATCCTTGTGGTTTTTATTTTGTGATAATGGGGACTAAATGTGAATTAGAAAACAAAGGAATAATTGGTCTCCATGGCAATGAATAGCAATGGAGATAGTGACAACGTTCATCAGTGGCTAATAGGAAAGGGTTTTACTTAAATATTAAATTAAAAAAAAAATTTAAAACCTGTTTTATTAAAACTTTCACATGTATCTCAAACTTTCACATCTGTTAAGGAGTGTATACTCATGACTTTGTTATTCCTAATTTTAGTC